ATTATTAATAATAATTTATAAATATATTATTCATATTTTAAATAAGAATGTTTAATAATAGAATAAAATAATAAATACATTATCAATATAGATTCACTATGAGAAATAAAAATATAGATGGAATTTGTGTCAATGAAATAACTTGTTTTATACTTGAATTCTTTAAAATTAAAAGAAAGAATTTTAATCTAAGAATCTATTTTAAATGAAAATACACAAATAGAAAAGGATATATTAGTTAGAAAAAAAAATAACTAAACTATTATGATATTAATCATTTTATTAATACAATATGTTTTATCTGGTTTTTGTGAAGGAAAGAAAAATGGATTTTATTGTACTGACCACATAAAGTTCATTTGGTGTTATGGAACGGATAGTGGTTCAGCATTGTCGTGTGCTAGTGGAACAAATTGTAAATGTGGGTATAGTAGTTTTAATCCATGTGGATATAGTTTTCAGACAATGACAGATTGTACTGGAACACCAGGAAATGGAGATGAAGCACCAAATCAATCTTCAGAAGAACAACCAACAAATGATGATTATTGTTGATTCCATTTACTCTTAGAAAAGAAGTAGAAATGAAAAAAAAAGAAAGAGACAAGTTAAAAAACAGTTTTAAATTATAATTTTGTTTTTTGTGAGAAATAAAAGAAAAATAGATGGAAAAAAAACGAAAGAAAGAGAAAAAAATGGAAGAAGAAAAGTGGAGTTTTGGAAGGAAGGATTTGAGAAAGATAGAAGAAACTAATAATTGAATTGAATGAAATTTGCGCAGAAATTCAATGAAGGGATGACGGTCGAATGGGAAGACCAATACGTTGATTATAATCTATTATGTAGGAAGCTTAATTCAATACAAACACTAAAAAACCAATTAGGGGATATGCAACATGAAGTTGAAGATATTGTTATTGAAATGAGTGATGAATCTAATAGTGCCAAAGAAGATAATTCAACAGAACCACAAAGCCCAGGTGGACAATTTTGTGAAGAAGGAGGAGAAGGAGATTATACAATGTTAACAACTAAAATTGCTACAGAAGAACAAAATTTTTGGAAAGAATTTGATTTTAATATAGAAAAGATTGATGTTTTTTATTGTGATAGATTAAAAGAGTCATGCAGATTTATTAATGATTTTTATGATCGTTTAATGGCATTTGGACTTGTTGATCCAAAACAACATAAAAAAGAAAAGTTCCAACCAATTTATAAACAATTGGTAGCTCATGAAAAAAAAGGAATTAAAAAGGTATTAAAATATAATAATGGGGATTCAGAAAATTCTAGAGAAAATAAAAGAAACCAAAGAAAAAGTTTAAAAATTGCTGCTAGTATGTTCCAAGAAACAGAGGAAGTTGGAGGTTCATTAGATGTAATTGATTTAGCAGCATCAACATTAAAACATGCAAGGTCTCGAAGAGGAACAATTTCAAGAGAAGGATCATTTAATAGTTCAGACTCAAAAAAGAAAGGAAGTTCTACTATTAGTAGTGAAGAAGATAGCACAGATTCGACTGTAAAAACAAATGAAGGAAGTGAAGAAGGAGGTAATAGTGATAATAATGAAGGTATTTGTGAAGAAGATATTTTAGACTTAGAAAAAGAACATAGTGAAATATCAAGAAGAAAAAGAAATAAATTAAGAACAGCAGCAGAAGAATATTATAGAGGATTATTATTAATGCAAAATTTTTGTTCATTAAATAATGAGGCAATTATTAAAATATTAAAAAAAAGTGATAAAATAACTGGATATGATAGAATGGAAACAATTAAAGATGAAATTCTTGAAAGTACTAAATTTTATAAAATGGTTGAACTTAAAATTCTTATAGAAGAAACTGAGAAATTATTTCAAGATGCTTTTCATGAGACAAATAGATTAAATCAATTTAAAATTAATTCACAAGATATTAATCCAATGAGGTATTGGAGAATTGGAGTATTATTTGGTGGTACAATTTATGTTATAATATTACTTATTATAAAAATAATTAGTTATTATAGAAGTATTAAACAATCAGATGACCAATTATTAAATACATTATCAATTAAAAAAATTACAGAAAAAGAAATTATTTCAATAATTAATATGACAAGAGCATTTTTATTATTTTCTTTATTACAAATTTATTGGGGAATTGATATGTATATTTATCGTAGAGTAAGAATTAATTATCCATTTATTTTTGATATGCAAAAAAGAAAATATAATTATATTCATGCAATAGAATCAGGTATTACACAAATATTATTAACAACCACATGTTTATATTGTATGATGGTTTGTTTATCACCACCTTATGGATTTGAATTTTTAAATAATATCCCTTATTGGATTTTTCCATTAATTAATGTGTTAATATTAACTATTGTATTTATTATAAAACAAATTAGACATTCTTGGGTTATTAAAGTTATCTTCAGAATTATCAGCGCTCCTTGGAAAAAAGTTTATTTTAAAGACTTTTGGATGGCTGATCAAATGACTTCTATTTCACCATTTTTTAGTGACTATATCTTTTGTATAACTTTCTTTATTGTAGGATGGATTACTAATAACGATTCTAATTCTGAATTTGGAGGTGTAAAAATGTTGGATTATACTAAATTTATTAATCCAATTTTTTCATGCATTCCTCCAATGTTCCGTTTTCTTCAATGTTTTCGTTCAGCAAGAGACTCTGGAAATATGTATCAATTAGCTAATGCTGGTAAATATTTTGTTTCCATTTGTAATGGAATTGGTGGAGGAATACGTTCTTTATATAAAACAGTAACAGTGCCAATTTATATTTTTATTAATTTATGTAATTCAATTTATTCAGGCACTTGGGATATTTTAATGGATTGGGGATTGATGAGAAAAAAATATAACTTCCTTAGAAAGAAAACTTTATATTATAAATGGATTTATCCTATTGCAATTGCCATTGATATTACTCTTCGTTTTGGTTGGACTATTAATATCATTTTATTATATGTTAATTGGTTTGATGAAAATAAAATTGTTAAAGAATGTATTGTTGTTGTCATTAGTATTATTGAAGTAACTAGAAGAGGAATTTGGAACGTTTTTAGAGTTGAATTCGAAATGACTAATAACATGGATAAGTTTAGAGCTACAAAAGAAATTCCATTACCAGTGCCTGATTAAATGCAGTACAATAAAATGTATTATTTCAAATATAACCGTTTCAATTATTATATTGCTATAATTAAAATATCTATTTTATCAAAATATTTTTTATTTTTCTTTATAATATTTAGTAATACTCTTTTTATGTTTATTGATTCTTTTATATTTCTCCAACAGACATTGAGGAAAGCATCATCAGGGACAATGGAGATGAACAAAACTACTCCTATGAAAAAGACAG